CTAAATTCACATGTTTTGATATTCATGCACATAAATTGATTAGATGAATATTTTACTTATTTCTAACAATATGTCAAATTCTATCATCTCACTATACAAAACTGCAACACTGACTAGAAATAAACTATACGAAGTGGTAAAGTAACAAAAACAACTTACATTCATGTGATGAATATAAGTTTGTCCCAAATGGAGGATTGTCCTCCTGTCCTTAACGAAAACACAGTAGCTAACTGTTAGCTAGGGTTGTGCGTGGTAATTCACAAGAAGTATGAAGGCATGAAGACAGCTTATGAGATAAGCAGTCATCAGATACCATATCTGGAAATCCATAAAACAAAAGGGTTGGCTGAATACTGTAAGAACCCTGAGTAAAAGACAAAAGAAAAGTCGTTTCCACCAAAATAAAGGAAAAGAATCAAGCAAATATCATTTGCTAGTTCTAAAAACATGTTTAGTAAAAAGGGTGATTTCTTATTCCTGGATAGTAGATTCGGGAGTTGCTACTCATGTTTGTTTTCTTTATTAAGTCTTCGTTCTTACAAGGAAATTGTTTACCAAAAGAAAGAAAAAGAATCAAGCAAATATGATTTGCTAGTTCTAAAAACATGTTTTAGTAAAAGGGTGATTCCTTATCCTGAATAGTTGATTCAGGAATAACTAATCATGTTTGTTTTCTTTATTAAGTTTTAGCCCTTAAATGGAAATTGTTTCCACCTAAACAAAGAAAAAGAATCAAAGTAAATAAGATTTACTAATTCTAGAAACATCTTTAGTAGAGGGTGATTCCTCGTCCTGGATAGTTGATTCGGGAGCAACTAATCATGTTTTGGTTTTCTTTGCAAAATATTAGTTCTTACAAAGAACATGCCGTCGGGGACTACACGATGGTAGGAATACCGCGAGGGTATCGACAAAGGCAGTGGGAGAAGTTAGACTTCAATTTTGGAAATACCTTGTTGTGAACAATGTTTATTTCCCTCCAAGCATAAAAGGAAATTTGATTTCTAATTCCAAATTATTTGAACAATTACTTTTAATAATAATCTAGTCCACATTTTTCGGAATGGTTCCGATATATGTTCTGGATATTTAGAAAATGGTTTATACCGTTTAAACCGATGCCTGGCTCACTACAAAATATTGAAATGTTCAAAAGTTGCCGAAACTAAGAATAAGAAGCAAAGGACCTCTCACGATAAATAACACATATCTGTGGCATCTTAGACTTGGTCATATTAGTCTAAACAAGATTGAAAGACTAGTAAAGGATGGTCCTTTACCCGAACTAAAAGTTAGTAAGCTTCTCGTCTGTAAATCTTGTCTAGAAAGCAAAATGACCAAGAGGCCTTCCACATCGAAAGGAGAAAGAACCATAGAACCTCTTCAGCTAAAATTTTTCTTCAAAAATTCCACATCGTGCATGCGTTGGTGTTTGTGGAAATTCAAGTGTTTATTGTAACCCGGTTTGTCTCGGGTGTGCCCACACACACGTCTTCGTGGATTCTAGGAATTGACGTGGAAGACATTGGTTTTCTAAACACAAAGCTTTCGAGCAAGGATTGTTCGAGGTCAAAGAACTCAAGTTATCAACCGAGTCGGCCTCCAGGTATTTTTCCTAATTGAGTTCTTAATATATGAATTAATGTGATTAATTTATTCGTGCATAAATTAATATAATCTATAGAGTATCTCAAAGGTTTTATGAAAATTTTTGTTATACACGATCCGCCTCCCCGCCATGCTTCCGCATCCGAATTCGATTAGGTAACCAACCGTTATAGGGATTGGAAAAGCGACCTCTATAACTATTTCAAAGATCTTGGTGGTTCACAAAATGAGTGTGCAATTAGGGCCCACCCTCCTAAAAATCTCAAGAATCCAGCTCACTGGGGTCGTTGCTATGATAGATTCATGTCCGACAAGTTTCAGGTAAATAAATCTATTTTATATGTTGTTTTTATAAAATATATAATAAAGGTTAATTTTACTAACGCTGAATGTAATCGTAAATAGAAAATCTCGGGGATCAATAAACTTAATTGTAGCAACCAAAAGTGGTCGAGTTTTCATGCTCGGCTGTCGTACTCCCGACATCGCGATAAGAAAGTAAGTATTTGTTAATAATTTATTCCATATAAATGTTAATTGGATAATCGATTACACTATATTCATATACATTTAAACTAATATACAGTCTACCATAGGGACTCAACAGCCGATGTCCGTCATCGATAACTGGGGGGACATGCATCGTGGTGGGGATACTTGGGTTAATCCCTAAGCTGAGCAGACTTTTGTAAGTATACTTTTAATGTTTAATTATATTTTTTTATTTAAATCGCATTATGTATTTAATTAATTTTCTTATAATATTTGTAGCAATATTTGTAGCATCAGATGGAGGGAGAAAGAGAAACGTAGATCCAGACGCAGTCTGCTACTTCTGGATCCTCCGCTACAGGAACAGTTAACGAGGAGGATATTATGGAGCGGTTTCTAGGCACTTGCAGAGGACACAAGACTGGAGTGGGTCGCACACTCCCACAAAAAATTTATCGAGGGGATGCGTCGTCATTTGGCTCACGCTCGGCAAGATCTTCTACGACATGTTCTGACCCACACGTAGAAAAAGACTTACAATGGACTTACCAACAAAACCTCAAGGTGTACGAGAGCGTCAGAATGATGCAGGATTTCATCACACAAATGCACCCTAACATGACTTTCCCAGCGGTTACTCCTCCTGAGCTGTATGTCTGTCCTGATCATCCACCTCCGAATCTTTCTGATGATAACAATGATAATTCTATTGATGCTGCTAATTTAGGAGATTAGAGTTTTATTAATATAAAAATTTGTATTTCCGCACATTTCTACTATAATTACATTTTTATTTTATTAATTACTTTTTACCATAATAATTTTTATTTATATTTTAGATTATTTATTTCCTTTTACTTAATTTTTATTTATATTTAGTATCATGAATTATATTTATTACAATTATTAAAATGAGAAAAAATAAATAAAAAATTAAAATATTATTTGCGACGACAAATGTCATCGCAAAAAATATATGCCACGTCTACCACTGCGTTTTTTGCGATGACTTAATTCGAAACATGTCGTCGTAAATACTTAATGCCATGTCATCTTAATGATGTACCCGACGAAGTAATTGTAGCGACTCATTTGTGACGATTGTCGCCACAAATATAATTGCGACGACTGATTGTTGTCGCAAAAATTGTTTTTGCGACGAAGCAATTGTAGTGACAGGTTTCCGACGACAAGTGGTCGCTAAAAATACATTTTTGATGACTTTTTATTTTTTACAATGACTTTTTGTCTTCACTAATAGCCCTTTTTAACGGGAGATTTACAAATTTACAATATGAAATAATGAATGCTTATGTATTAAAAAAGGGTATCTGATTGTTAGTTGAGAGCCCAAATTAATTACATCCAAAGTATTAACGTTGTTTATACGTGGCCAAATCTCTTTTTCATTTTTTTTTTTCAGATATCTTTTTCAAATTTCCCTTTTCTCTAAGAAAAATTTCCCTTTTCTCTTGCTTTAAAGAAACCAAGACTTTTTTAGTAGGGTAGGAACAAAATTCATGACTTAGTATTGCATTGTTTGTATTATAAGACTTTATATATCGGTTTATGCTACTTTTGTGTGTGTATATATTTAATATATGTTAATATAGTTTTTATTTCCTTTTAAAAAATATATAGTTTTCATTAATATATATGACAATTTGAGGTGTTGTTTGTTAGTGATATAATTTTTTAGGAAAGTTTTCTGATGAGGCACGTTGATTTTTTTTTTTTTTTTTTTTTTTTTTTGTTATAGCAAGTTTTTTTAGCTGCAATTAAACTTCAACAACCTAATTTATGAGTGGCAATATTTTTGTTGTCTGAATATATGTAGTACCTTTTTTAAACATAAATCAAATCATTGATCAGCAAAAAAAAAAATAAAAAAAAAAATAAACATAAATCAAATCATTCAAATTTAATCAAATAACTAGTAATACATACTTACTAACCGTATCTTAAAATTTTCTATTTTATAAACCATAACATAAAAAGCTTTCTACAAAATATTGGAAAGAGGTCTTTATTTTCGGATATTTTATTTTTTTAGCTTTAAAGAGGGCACATAGTCATATGGTATGTCCATTACGCTTTTAACTCGTGAAGATTATATTATTCTGTTATTGAAAACGCGTGAGTGTAAATGAACTCGCGGGAGCAATCAATATACATGATTATATGTAAGACTTATTTGTCTTCTTTCTTAAAAGCACAAGTAAAAGTCTCTCGAGGAACTTTTATAAACCTATCTTAAATAACTAGTACGTAATACTTACTTACTAACCCTATCTTAAATTTTTCTATTTTATAAACCCTAACATGAAAAGCTTTCGACAAAATATTGAAAAGAGGTCTTTATTTTCGGATATTTTATTTTTTAGCTTTAAAGAGGGCACATAGTCATATAGTATGTCCATTACGCTTTTACCTCCTGAAGATAATATTATTCTTTTACTGAAAACGCGTGAGTGTAAATGAAGTGGCAGGAGCAGTCAATACACAAGTTATATGTAAAGACTTATTTTATTTGGCACAAGTAAAAGTTCTCTCGAGGAACTTTTTGGTGTGTCTGCAACTTCTTCTCCAGCTCTAGTCTTGCATTTATAAAACTTTACCTTCTCAAAGGCATCAAGACTCTAAGATAGCTTTCATTCTATTTGTCGATATGGATGCTCATGGTGTTCCTCCTCCTTCTTCCTCTATTTGTGAGAAATACGACTACGATGTCTTTCTTAGTTTTAGAGGTGAAGACACACGCGATAATTTCACAAGCCACCTTTATGCTGCTTTGAAACGTAAGAAGATCAACACTTATTTCGATGAGGAAAGCCTTGAGAGAGGAGACGAAATCAATCTTGCACTCCCTGAAGCAATTCAGAGGTCATACATTGCGATAATCATTTTTTCGAAAGATTATGCTTCTTCGTCGTGGTGCTTGTGCGAGCTTGAGCATATATTTGAATGCCATCGAGAAAATAAACAGGTGATAATACCAATTTTTTATGGGGTAGATCCATCTGATGTACGGAAACAAAAAGGAAGCTATGAGAAGTCATTTATAGAGCATGAAAATCGTTTCAAGGACAAAGTGGAAATGGTTACAAAATGGAGAATTGCTTTAACAAAATCAGCCGATCTCAGTGGTTATGATTCACGAGTCACTAGGTATTTTTTTTTTCCTTATATATATGTTTACTATTGACAATATATCTAAATAAATGTAATGAAAGAATATATACACACAAACTTTTTCCCAGAAGCGTCTGATCAAGATCTCTTTGTTGACTTCTTGTTGCAGAATAGCTGAGTAACTTCACTTTGCTTGCGATTGAAACTACTCTTCGATTTATATTTCCATTTTCTAATTTTTTTTTGAAGGAATCTTTTTTTTTTTTTTGCTCATATTAAACATGTTAAAATACTTCTGATTTTATGATTCATATGACTATGTTATTTAAATTGTTTGAAACCCATGTTTTTTGCCTAAATTATAGGCCCCATTGACTGAAATATTTCACTTGGAACACTCCTTGAGTTTTAAAAAAAACTGTAAGACACCGTTCCCGTTCATTGAATAGTATCTTTTGACCACTAAATAACGAAAGCACCCCTTTACAGGTTAGATTACATGCAAGTAGTAAATAGGTTTTTAATGATATAATTAGGTTAAAAAATGACATCCTTTACACATACTTAACCGACATACGACACCGTTCATTGTAAGACACCGTTTTGTTTTGTTTTGTTTTTTATTGTTTTTTTTTATTGTTTTTTATTGTTTTTTTTGTTTTTTTTGTTTTTTTTGTTTTTTTGCTTTTCCTGTTAATTCTGGTTGTAACATTTTTATTGTTACTTAATATGTGAAAAGTGATACAGAGATGTCATGGAGAGAGTCATAATTTCAAAACGTTATGTATTGTCTAAAGCGTATACTATTATCATGGCAAAATCCAGAATAAGAGGTTTCAATGTGTCATCGAAGGCACTGATTAGTATTTACAAAAAAAAAAATATATGTTAAAAAGTCAATAGAACAATTTTGGTAAATCCTGAAAATCAAAGAGTTCTAACCACCCCGTAAAAATAGATTGAGGGGTTGATTTGATATTTTGATTCTTTTCTATAGAAAATCTTGAATATTTGATAATTGAATACAAAATTGAGTGTTCTCTCCAATTTAGAGATTTTTTTTTTCCGTCCGGGCTAGGCTAGTAAAATCATGTTTTATCCATTCTTCTGCATGAGCTTTTAGAATTCTGCAATGAGTTTATGTTCAATAGAGGGACTATAAATTGTTTACATATTCTTTAAATTAAAGCAATATGCATATATGTCCCATCTTTAGTTCAAAATTCACTAACAGCATTTAATCCTCTTTTTAAGATCTGTGGCCCCTCAAATTTTAAATTTGTCTTGATCACGATTTTTATTATTTTTTAAGAAAAATCCAAAATGTTATCAAAGTATTAAAAGCTTAATCTGAAATGTGCTAGAACTAGTTGGTTCCAGCATCATCGTTGTAAAAAATATACGTAATTAATTTGATTTGTTTCGTTGCTCATTCTTACTAAACACCGTTTACACCTTTATATTTTAGGCCTGAGTCAAAATTAGTTGAAGCAATTGTAGAAGATGTTTTGAGGAAATTGAATCGTGGATCGTCATCAAATTTTATTCCTAAGGGTCTAATTGGGATTGAGAGACAGATCGCAGAAATTAAATCATTATTAAGTGTTTCTTCTCCAAAAGTATGCGTTGTAGGCATTTGGGGAATGGGCGGCATGGGTAAAACTACACTTGCCCAAGTTATATTTGATCAACTCTCTTCTCAATTCGAAGCTTGTTGCTTTGTTGCAAACGTGAGGGAAGAATCGGAGAAGGGATCATTGATTAACTTAAGAAATAAGCTTCTTTCTGAATTATTAAGGGAAGAAAATCTAAATGTGGGAACCCCATCTCTAGGACCAACTTTTGTCAAAGAGAGGCTTAAGCGTACGAAGGTTCTCATTGTTCTTGACGATGTTAACCATGTCGAGCAATTAAATTTTTTTGTTGGGGACCGTGACCAGTTTAGCTGTGAAAGCAGAATCATTGTAACAACTAGAGATGTTATGGTGCTTAGGGATATTGCAGTGGACGGAATGTACGAGGTTGAGAAATTACATTTCAATGAGTCTCTTCAACTATTTAATTCGATTGTTTTTAGAGAAAACGCTCCTGATATGGATTATAAGGATCTATCGAAAAATGTGGTTGAGCATGCTGGTGGCCTTCCATTGGCAATTACAGTTTTGGGTAAACACTTTCGTTCTCTCCGTATTCAGAGCCAAAAAAGTTGGGAAATGGCGTTGGGGAAACTAAAAATTGTTCCTCATAATGATATTCACAATGTGTTGAAAATAAGCTACGATGGGCTGGAGAGAGAAGAGAAATATATCTTTCTAGATATTGCATGTTTCTTCAAAGGGATGCGTAGACATTGATCCTCGTTATAATGGGCTTCAAATGCATGATCTATTGCAAGAAATGGGTAAAAATATTGTCCGTCAAGAATCTACAAAACTTGGAGAGCGCAGTAGGCTATGGATTACTGAAGAGGCTCGTCAAGTCCTAGAGAACAATGAAGTAAGTGCCAGTGTATTTCAATAATTCACTTTAGAATTGCATTAATAACTTGTAGATTAAGCGATTACACAAATCCATTGTTTATTGAGATGTCCTCATGCATACATTAGTAACTTAGATTGCTTTTAATTTTTTCATGATATATAAGTACATTCATTGTGTGTGTACACGTAACAGTACTGAAGTAACTTATCATATACTCTATATGTGGATACTAAAATGACAGGGGACTGCAAAAGTTGAAGGAATATTCCTAGACTTGTCCGAAATTGATGAAGAGATACACTTGGAACCTACAGTTTTCAGAAAGATGTCTAATTTGAGATTGCTCAAAATTTACGATTCCTCTTATGGCAAGAAAGGCAAATTGTACCTTCAGGATCTCCGTTATTTTCCTCGTTTACTTAGGTATCTCGAATGGCATGAATATCCTCTAAAATATTTACCATCAAACTTTAAGCCAAAAAATCTTGTTGTCCTAAAGATGCCCTACAGTCACATTGTGCAACTTTGGGTTGGAGTCCAGGTATATATCCTACACTGTGGTACTAAACCTAATTTATAAGGCATAGTTTAGTTATTATTCTCATTTCTTTATGTGACAGGAGCTTAACAAGTTAAGTGAAATTGATCTAAGACACTCCATTCACCTAACTCAAATTCCGGATCTGTCAAGTGCTCCAAATCTTGAGAGAATAAATCTCGAGTATTGCACAAATTTGTTTCAAGTTCCTTTGCATACTCAGCAAAATCTTAACAAGCTTATTGATGTGGATCTAAGCCACTGCTACCAGCTTCAGAGTGTGCCAGATAGAATATTTGATGCTGCCTCTATGACAACTCTTACTCTCAACACTCTTCCAAGCCGGAGCCTTGTGTCTTTAAATTTAAGTTCAACTGGAATAACGTCTTTGCCTTCATCAATTGTCTCTCTCAATAATCTTTCGAAATTGTCTCTCAGAAACTGTACAAGACTTGCAAGTCTTCCAAGTTGCATGAATAAGCTGGATTCTCTAAAGGAACTTGAATTAGACGGGTGCTCAATTCTTGAGATGTTTCCAGAGCTTCCATTGAATATAATGAGGTTGGATATTGAAGGGACTGCAATTAAGGATGTGCCCTCAGCATCGATTGAGGATCGATTTTTTCTCCTGGATATTGGAATGTCCAATTGTAAAAGTCTTGCGAGTTTGCTATCCAACATTTTTAAGATGAGGTCTCTTCGTGACCTTAATCTTAATGGTTGCGCAAATTTGAAGAGCCTTCCGGAAATCTTAGATCCGAGGAAAATTTTAAAATGGCTTCGTTTAGGCGGAACAGGGATTAGAGAGCTACCAATATGTGATATGGCTAAGCTTTCGGATCTCGATCTTTCTGATTGTCCAAAACTTGACTATTTTCCAATCTCAAGTGGTTTCCTCCGTTGGGATCTGGAATTTCTTGATCTCAGTGGCTCTAATATAATAGCAATCCCTACAAGCGTCAAAGGGCTTTCTAAGCTGATAAAGATTACGTAAACAATTGCAAGAATCTTCGTTCTATACCAGAGCTTCCATTGGGTTTGAAATTTCTTGATGCCAGAGGGTGCACGTCGTTGGAAGTGGTGTCAAATTCAAAGAGAGCACTCACACAAGAGTTTTGGGATTATGTTCAAAATGAAAGGGCCGATTTTATTGAATACTCAATATTTTGTGATTGCTTGAAATTGGATCAGAAGCAGCGTCAAAGTATTTTAATGGAATTCCAGCTTAGAGTTTTTCGGACCGCTACACGATTTATATGTAAAGACCATGAGGTACGCTTTCTTTGTGTTATGTTTAAAATTTTTTTAAAAAAAAAATTCCGAACTAGTTAGGCAATTGAAATAGAGCTTGACTTCTATGGTACAGAGGTTGCCTTATTCGATTGGTGCGTGTTGTCCGGGATATGAAATTCCAAAGTTGTTTGAGTATCAATCAGAGGGATCTTTTATTGATATAAAGCTTCCACTGGAAAGGCAGAATTTCAAGTTCTTGGGTATTGTATTTTGTGTTGTTGGTTACTGTTATTCTGACAGCGAATTCCTGCATTTAAGATGTGAAGTCAATCTTAAAGCGAACCAAGGGGAAAACAGAGAATTCACTTCGGTGTTTAAATATATTGATGAAGTTTGCATGAAGTTTTCAAGTAATGTGTGGATGTGGTTTGTGCCTGATGACTATCATAAATGTCTCAATCCAGTGGAGGCGTCATTTGACTTTTCATTGGTAGGATGGGATAAGAGAAAAAGTAGACGGTTTAAGACTTCCATGCATGAAGTGAAGAAGTGTGGGATCCACCTGGTATATCAGAAAGAAATAGAGGAATTCAGATTCAATTTCATCAATGCTGGCCAACATCATGTACTTGAGGAATCAGCAGCCGAGCAGCCTGAATCCATTGCACGCGAAACCGTCGACTTTGATACAGATGAACCACGTCTCAAGAAAATTAAATTTACAGATTCCTTTGACTGCTGATTATTTGATCTCTTCCTGGAATGAATCATCGGTAATTCCAAAAAAAAAAAAAAGTGTATGAATATGGATTTTGGTTTCTTTCTACTACTCTAATTTGTGAATAATACAGCTTTGTTATATACTACGCTATTTTCTACAATATTTACTTTTTATGTTCCTTTATTTCTTCTTTTGTGTGTGTATATCCTTCTTATAGGTTTCTGGATGTTCGAAAAGAGTACAGAGCATCAATAAAAAAAAAAAAGAAAAAAAGAAAAGAACAGAGCGTAATACAACAAAATTTTCTGTCCCTTTTTTTAAATTTTTTTATAATTCAGTTCAACAGTTGGGCAGCATTTAGGTGGAGATTAAGGTTGCGTTTTGTTCCATGATTTCTCTTTTAGAATAAGGCAATCACAGATTTACGTGAATTCTTTTAGTTTATCTAGTTTAGGCTTTTGCTCTGTTACTAGTACTTAGCTATTGATTTGTGTTCCTAATACCTGGTTTCTGATCTGTGTGGTTATTGAAGAAGCAGGGCTTAAGGTATTTTGAAATTCACAAGTTGTTAATCTCTGATGTTCTCTTTCTTGTAGCAAAGAATGCTGGCCGTTTCTTGCATGTCGAACGCTGTTCCGGCATTGCTGCTGCTGCTGCTCTTTCTGAAGGGTTAAGTTTATGCGAATATCAGTTCTCTTGTTGCGGTGTTTCTTACGGCAGTGCAAGTCTATCCCCTGTTCTCCCTTGCAATACATTTTGAAATTCTTTGCATTTCTTTACAGTAATAAATATCAATAGTTCTTACAATCGTTTTAGAAGAATGTTCTTGCCCAAGTGCTGCTGATATCCCGTGCGTTGCCGCGGAAAATATCATTGTATTACATAAAAAGTTTGAGGTTTTTATAGTACAAGATTAATTTATATGTACATTGACATACATATATATACAGTACTGTGATGGTAAATATATTTAAACATATATACAGATATATATACAGTGTTTTCATTTAAAATTTCTTACAATGGAACATTGTTGTCGTTTTGCTTCTTTCCTTTGTTTTTTTAACTGCAAGATACAAATTTTAAAAAACAAAATTAGTAATTATAATAATTAAAGAAGTTCAAAATATTTGACTATAGTTTTTATAAATTAAAGGATTTAGAAATAGTTATATTACCTGGTTCTTGGGCCTTTTTTAAATTGTTCTGTTGTCTTTGATTGAAAGTTGAAATGATAAAAGATTATTCATATATGTATTTAAAGTAGTAAATATTGTTTTTTATAGTAGATATGTTTTACCTTGTGCTTGATCTTTTGGGGATTGGGGTTTGTGAATCTATTAAGGAATAAAATTTAAATCTTCATGTTCTATAGCTGCTTTCTTCTTCAAAGATGAACGAACAAATTCACAATCTTTTGTAACAAAATTTGATTATGTAAACTGTGTAGGAAGGAAAAAATATAAGTCACAGATACTGTCAAAATATAAACAAACAAATAAATAAATAAATAAAAACAAAAAATATGAGGAAAAATATTCATGAAATATGGTTATAGCAAAATTTTTTGTATAATAACTGTGGCCTAGATATTCAATATTCTCAGCAACAAGTGACGAATATAATTGACTTATATATTTATAGCTAATTTGTGGCTGCCTATGTAAGTGTTTTTAGCTAAATAGAAAACACTTATGATAACTGCACAAAAGCACAAAACTTAATAAGATATTATATCCGTCACATAGATTATAATATATATGTATGACTTGAGTAAAGTATATAGTTGCCCAAAAACTATCAGGCGAATTGAAAGAGGAGGAAAAAACAGTGCCTACAATCAAAGAAAGAATAACGCCTTAGCCTTGATTTGGGCAGAAATGATCATGGAGATTCAACAAACTAACAAATGTGGGAACAAAAACCTCAGGGAAAACTGTAAAGTTATACTATAAAACATAAAAAAACCAGAAACTCCATGGACAGGAGAGGTAAAAGGCAACGGAAAGAATCACAAATTCGTAACATCATTTTTTTTTTAAAAAAGAAAAACCAGAAGCAAAAAATGCATGAAAATGATAATAAAGACAAAGGATTAGGAAGAACAAAATCTATTAGATAAAAAGAAATGCAAGAAAATGATAATAAAGACAAAGGATTAGGAAGAACAAAATCTATTAGATAAAAAGAAATGCAAGAAAATGATAATAAAGACAAAGGATTAGGAAGAACAAAATCTATTAGATAAAAAGGTAAGGAAATTGTCCGAATAAGGTGAAAAAAATGGACGTAATGAAAGCGTGAAAGAATCAGTAAAGGTTAGTGTTTCACTTCGAATGATAAAAAAGGCTCAACTACAAAACAAATTGAGAAATAAAAAAACTCAGGACAAAAGCATACAGCCATGTTATAAAGTAACAAAAGAGTCAAAAGTCCCAGCATATGAGAGAAAGAAGAAAGGGGGCAAAAAAAAAAAAAAGAAAAAAGAAAAAGTTGGAAATCCAAATTCAAGAAGCAGACTAAATGCATAATCAAAATAAGGAAGACACATTCACAGCAATTTTTAGACAAGTTATATAAAATTTAACATATTAAGATTGATTATAATCATCATTGCCACAGTAAAAACAGGAAAAAAAAAGGTGAAAGAAAAGACATAGTTTATTAACATTTATTAACAACAGAACAAAATGTTTGTGAGCAACATATAGTAGTAACATCTATTAATAACATAATATAATTATTTATGAGCAGAAATTACAAAACACAAACAGCACATATTAATACTACTATAGCAAACCAATATATGTAACATCAACGGCAGAAATTAAAAAGTTGTGGGCAAGAATTATTAATAGTGCCTGGAACGCTATGAACACTCGCTTAAGTGTGAAATGTCAGGCAACCAAATGCGAACAGAGGGAAAAAAAAAGATGCAGAGATAGCAAGAGAAAGCAGTAAATGATCGAGAATGAAGTAGAACATGAGTAAATGATCAAGGGTCAAATGCTGGTGAGAAAGAGTAAAGTGGAAGGAAAATAAATAGGGATATACAAAATGCATTCATGTGCAGCATCAGTGTTTATAAATAAAGAGTAGGAGAAGAATTTGGAAGGGTGTATAACCTATTAATTGTACAACGAGTTGAAGAAAGACTGGATCACCAGATGTGATGTAATTTTTGCTAGCTTTGGGTACAAGTCACGATCCTTGTATCTTACTATTGTTTACCTATCTTATGGTGAAATTTTAAGACTACAAAAGCATTTCCCAAAAAAAAAAAAAACTATTCTCTCACCATTTTGTTTACATTTAGGAAGTAATTTGAATGCTCTCCAGGGCCTGGGGCGACAAAAAAATGCGGGAATGTTGGAAATCGAAGGAGAAAGTGCTGGAAAAGCTCAGAAAGCTCCAAATTAATGGAAAGCTTGCGGGAAAAACATAAGATGACGGATTTATTCCCATTCTATAGATCCGTTGAGCCAACGTGATGATACCACGGCCCTACCTTGGAGAGCGTTGGCATGTCGGGGATCCGACTGTTGCGCCCCAGTCACTAAGAATTGAGCCCTGTTGTGCCCACATGATGATACCCCAGCCATACCCTGGAGAGCGTGGGAACGTGGGGAATTCATTGTGCCCATGTGATGATACCACGGCTAGCTAGGCCCTGGAGAGCATTGGCACGTCGGAGATCCGACTGTTGCGCCCTAGTCCCTAAGAATTGAGCCCTGTTGTGCCCACATGATGATACCCCAGCCATACCCTGGAGAGCGTGGGAACGTGGGGAATTCATTGTGCCCATGTGATGATACCACGGCTAGCTAGGCCCTGGAGAGCATTGGCACGTCGGAGATCCGACTGTTGCGCCCTAGTCCCTAAGAATTGAGCCCTGTTGTGCCCACATGATGATACCCCAGCCATACCCTGGAGAGCGTGGGAACGTGGGGAATTCATTGTGCCCATGTGATGATACCACGGCTAGCTAGGCCCTGGAGAGCATTGGCACGTCGGAGATCCGACTATTGCGCCCCAGTCCC